AAATTTTTGATCCGGATCCACTTCCGATCTAATATCACTGTTTACAGAGATCAATGCTGAAGAAGTCGACCCTGTAGCAAAATTTCTGTCATTTGATAAAATATTATTAGACATGTTTACATCCTTTGACGTTACATCTGTGGAGTCGACGACATTTTGCGCCGTACTTGCAAGTTTCATACAAGTTCCACTCATAGCAAAACTGCTCAAACTCTTTAGAATCCCCCGGATCCTCAATTGCAAATTTTCCTTTATGCTTATGCTCAACATCAAAAAATGCAGGAGAATTAAGAGACTTCCTAATAGGAGCTTGTGGCATTGTCGTAGCCCGTCGTCTATTGTTGATTTGAGAATTGAATGGTCAATTATACACTTGTTGAGAACCGCTCGTCGAAGCCATCGGAACTGAACTACGATAAGCTCCTTCCATGTATCTCGTCTTGAGTGTCGAAAGCTTTGGGTGTGCCCAGTCTGCAAAAGATATGTCTTTATTCGACGCAAACTTTCCTCTAAGTGCTGCATCGAAATTCGCCACGCAAATCCAATTTGCTGGACTGCCGTCTGACATATGTTGATCTTTAATGAACTCCGAATATAATACAAAATCTTTATAGCAACTGGGAAAGGCTTCCTGGTACGTTTTTTGAAGAATATCAAAGTAATAGAACCACTCCTGAATGTCGTTAAGTTCTCGAGACTGCATTTTGTTCTGAAGTTCAAGCTTCCTATCACCTCCCGCGACCATGAGAGCTGCGGCCATGCCTTTCTTCGATTGTAAATATTCCCCTTTGATACGTCAAAGATCGATGTATTTTCCTTGTAACAACTCTTTTGATAGATTGTCAGGAAAATCCGGTGGTTTGACAGAATTGTTGAAACTCTTGACTGCCGCTGATAAACTAGAGATGTAGCCGTCTGGTGCTGCAGCAAATCTCTTCGCACTCGGAGTGTAATGCTCTTTAGACTGGGGACCTTCTGTAGTTCTAGGAAAGAAGTCCCACTTCTTTTGCTGCTTATCCAGTTTATCGTCAGAATCTGATATGTCTGAGTCGGCTTCACTATCCTCTTTTGATCTCGTTCCTTTCCCTTTTTTAGAAGAAGATGGATGGACTTGGAGATCCAATAAGTTTCTAACTTTTTGGGTGTCGTCGATTTGTTTCTGAGACATGATCGGGACCTGATCTCCATCTTTGTTAACATCTGGCGTTGGAGATTTTGATCTTCTGGAGCGGTTACTTTGAAGGTCATCTGGTGGAAATGTGGGGTTTGAAGACAGATCAAAGACAAATACTGGGTCTTCTTCTGAAGCAACCGGGCCTGTAGGAACAGGTCCCTCGTTTTGGTGGATGGGCCGAGTTTCATTCTCGTCCAGTTTGATAAGATCTGAAGCGAATTTTGACCATTGTTGGTACCAATTCCTTGCTTTGTAGGGAACAATCTTTGAATATTCAGATCGAACCCAACGCATTGTTTTGTTAACGGAGCCGTTTGCATTAATATATGCATTGGTAAGGGCTTCCAACTTCTCTTGCACTTCCCTAGCATTGTTGAAATCGAAGGAGGCTGCATCACTCATTTGACTGGTAAACAGGTCTCAATTAGAGAAAGTGATGACTCTTGACTAGAGAAATTAATAACTTTCTTCTTTGTAGAGAAAAAGAATCTTTTAGAGAACGAATTGTATGGGTTCTTTTTCTTAGATATGCTTTACCGCTAAAATTATAACGAAGAAAGGTTTAAAAGAGAACTGTTATCGACAAAAGTAAACGCAATGGGATAATAGGTTGATGGAACGGTAAACAGCTGGTGGTAAACAATGACCTCATTGCTGTCAAACGAAAGTAACCACCAGAACCCGAATAGGTCAGTACCGTTACATGACAAGTCCGATTATCCCATTCCCTTTTGTTAATAACGAGTTACCAATCACAAGGAATTCAAAAAAAGGATTGAGAACAAATGAAATTGTCACAATTGTGTTATTCAAAAGGCATGAAAACAAAATGATGTAGCTATTTTAAAGGTGATGATATTCTGTTCATTCCCAAGATGATGTGCACTTGAAAGAGCCAAGAGGTTTGAGAACAATGACTGTTGAGTGATCATGACTTTTTGAAAGGTTGAAAGGTGATCAATCATTTCTGATCAATCTTGATCATCCCTGAGTGATGAAAACTGCAGTCTTTCTCACTTGCTCATAGCATATGAGAAAATCATGCTAAATAATGCTACTAACCGTACTGTAGGGAATTACGGTTGTGGAAGGTTTTTTTATACCTCAAACACTGCCCTAACTGATCTGTGCAAGGCTCTGTACGGTACGAATTTACGGCACAGCTGTGGATGCTCTTACAGTACTCGAAGCTGTGTATACTTTGCCAGACATAGTTTTTTTTCTGTTTTCACAACTACACACAACCAGGAAAAACTATGTTTCTGGCTCAGAAGTACATATTTTTGAGCTTCAAACCAAAGACATAGAATTTGACTTTGACCAAAAAACACAATTTTCTGCATAATAATTTTTTTGCTCAAGTAAAGATCCTGCTCACCACAATGTACAGATACTGTGATTTTGTACTTTACAGACATGTACAGTAAATTTACTGAAAATTTATTGTATCAATACTAGAGACCAGGCACATTTTCCCGTTTTTTTGACATCAAAAACAAACAACATGGGGCTTGTTTTTCATGCTTTTTCACATTTTACGTCTCATATGAGAGTTAATTATCGCTTTGAAACCTGTTGCACAATCCAATCAACTACAAGAACAGTTTCTTCTTGTCAAGCCTCACATGGTTTGGCTGAGACTTGTCATGGGCAACACCTCTGAAAACCAAAGTAGATGCACATCATCTACTGATCTTGCATGCTTGTCAGCTCAAGAAGAATATCTTTAAAGAAATGGAAACTTGTATTTCTAAACTTGAAATTTCCTTACTATGCAAGGAGGTCTCATAAAAATTTTCAGGCTTTTTCCAATCAAATAATGCTTTATCTTGCACATCTCTAGATTTGGGATGCTTTGCATCAGCTTGGTGACATGAAATGAATGCTCAAAGTTATGGATCTTGAGCAATTGTAGTAAAAACTGCTGAACCCAATATCTGCGAAAGGTGTTAGAATAGGGCATACATGTGTATATATCCTTGTGTATTTTCTTTGCCGTATCCCTAGTCATCTATATTGAGATTTTGTAAAGCTCTTCAATCTTGTAAAGATGGCACCACACAAGCATCAGCGTTGAGTTACCCAAGGCCAGAGACCTACGGATAGTGAAATTGTTGGGTTGGAAGAGTAGAGATTTGGCTTGCATGGGCTTCAGTGGCTGAGGATGAGGTTGAAAGAGGGGACGGTATAGCACGTGAGGTTGGAGTTGGACTGCACACTTGCAGGCAGACCATTATTACAAGTTCATGCTACTATTGGTTGCCAGTGCCACAGTGACATCAGAACAAACTTTCAATGGGACATTCCAGGAGGACATGGGTTTACACAGGTCAACATGTGACAGCCTATTGTCTGTCACTCAAACTCAAAGTAACTTGCTCAAGCTTAAATGAACTGGTGCGCTGATCCTGAAGCCATCCACTCTCAAGTTGGAAAACATTTACAAAAGTGCAAAAATTGCTAATTTAACCCAAGTCCAATTGTGCAAAAGCTCACGGTAACCCAAAGCCAAGGCACGAGGGACTTGCACATTAAACAACATCTCTGGCGTGACCAATAGCCCCAAAAAGTGAAATTTGGGTCACTTTTGGATACAATCCATCCTATCTCATTCAATATTGCTTTGATCTGATTTCTGAAACTGGCTGGTACGAGTTCAGCATCTTGTACTTAACTTCTATTAGAAAAAAAAGAGAATCAAAATGTGCCAGCTCACAAGAATCCAGCTGGGAAACAAGCAACAACTGTAACCAGTTTGTTCAAAGACATTACAGGGAGTCAATTGACCATCTCTCAAGCCTTTCTGAGGGTACACATGACAATCTCAGGGTTTGAAATTTCAAATCCAAAAATAAGGAGCTTCAATGAATTGACACAATCATGAGCTCTGTCAAGATTCTGAAGAGGCCATTTCCTTCAGAACTCATTAGAGCTCACCTGACTCTTTTTTTGGAACCAATGGACTTGTGACTCGTGGTGAAAAAGTGAAGTGAAAAAACGCCCACCAAAAGGAGGCTATTAGTCACGCTCCGTTTGTCGTTTAATGTGCAGCCCCCTGTACCAGGGGCGGACAAGGCCGAGAAAAATCACCTGGCAGCGGGCTTGTTGTTAAGCTAGTGAAAATTGCACCTGGACCTTGGTGGAGGCTCTTAGTTTTTTTGCAGGACCGCAGTTCCGAGGGAGCTCAAAAGGAATCCAGATCCTACATAGGGGCAATCCTGGGTCCTGTCACAACGCTTCTGGTGTCACCACCCTTCGAATTCTCAACCCGACTCAGTGTTGAAAGGTCAACACTGACTCAACACCGACTCAAGTGGGGTTCAGGTGCTCAGCAGGTTGGTATGACTTGGGCGCAAGTCTACTGTTAGGTTAGAAATGCGGGCAATAGCCTAGTGAGCTCAAACGCTTGACCCGGCCTCAGGGGATGATCAAAGGGGAGTGCTGGTTGGGTCTGGTAGCTTGAATAGAGATCTGCTGGCTCCACCCTAGTCGAGATAACTCATTCCAACGTTAAGGGTTCTCGGATACTGTTTTGACACAGCTGAAGAAGTTGCGAAAACGATGAGTAAATCACCACGGTGTCATTTTGGGATCCACTTGGTCAAGTGATAGCGTGGAGCGTTACTGAGTGAATTCGGCTGAATGACGTCAATGTCACAGGATATCGATCGCAAATTAGGTTGATAACGTGAGAGCCGGTGTCAAAACTTCAAGGCATTGGGGGGCGGGATAGCAATTGAAGGGAGGCGCAGAGGGCAATACATGATGGTGTTGATAACGACTTATGGCGGTTTGGCATGATATCTTAGATTGATGACGAATTGTACATGAACTTCATAACCCCATGTATTGCATAGTTGGAGATGACCAGATAGCCCAGACACCACCAGAGGGATAGAAAATGATCAACGGTAACTATAATAAGGAGATGAATGTCAGTGAATGATGGTAGCCAAGACGGATGTGGTAACAGAATAAAATGCAACAGACGATTTTTGGAAGCGTGATCTGGCACCTTTTCCACCGAATTTCTTCGGTTCCATCCTCCGGGGGTCAGCAACTAAGAGGGTCCGGTCATACTGGATGAGTACCTTTCGAAGTTCTAAAGCAGATGCGGCATCTGGAAGGGAATGGTGTTACTCCACAGATTAGCAGGTGCTGCGAGCCAGATATCGGTGTGCATGATGAACTTGTATGGGACGAACCGTAATATTTGGCGTAAAATGCAACAACAGCTTTTGCAAGAGCCTGTCGAATAGCATAGACTTGTGAAGTGTGACCACCACCGCTTACTCGGACCCGGATATCAAGCTTGGAGAAGGCCTGGAGTGGAGGGACAGTCAGGATGAGTCAGAGTACCAAATAGATGGGCGGATAGTCGAAATTGAACACACATCGGCACCAGCGATCAAAATAGGTTCATAGACCTTGTAACGTAGAATCTCAGGTTGGACGAGAGAGATGGGAACTCCATTGATTCGGATTAAGCCTTTGCCGTCCTACAAGTTTGATAAGGGATTCTTCAGCAATAGGCCACCTGAACGGAAGACGGGTGGAGTTACCTTGCAGAATGCTACGGCGGTGGCGGTTTTTTTCTTGCCGAAAGTCTGGACGCTTTGAGATGTCGACATCTTGTGGTGCTGATAGTCTCACGTTGCGTCGCCCGCGTCAATCGACTTTGCGGGTGTTCAGTCAGGTAGTGCCGCGCCGCAGTCTCACACCAAACCTAACACCCGGCCGACTCTCTTGCCCCCGTACACCACACTCCAGGACACCCCTATGCTTCCTTGACGCACTCACAATACCTTCCATTTGACTCTCATGAATATCTTCAATTAGGCAGACTGTACTTCACCCTGAAAAGCTTTTTCGACTTTGGAGAATGGTTGCTCTAGCATCCAAGTATGAGAATTTCCAAGCACTTTCTGGACGTTGATGAATAGTTCGCACAGTCGTCTTCAGGTACCACCAGTGAGGAAACCCAGCTTGTGGAGACAATCCGACGAGTGGATTATTAGACCGCGATTGACCAGCTTGCGATGCATGAGTGGAAACATCACTTTCACCGAGCAAAATTGCCTGAGCAGATGGAACGGAGACCAAGAGATCTTCCCTGCTTGTTCTGCCAACTAAACAAACTGTATTTTCAAAACATCTTGACAACGGACAAAGATTGTAAACGTCGTGAAGAAAGGGCCTCGAACTATGTAATCTGGTCTTTGCCCTTCTTCGCCTGCTCACGTAATTCTGTCCCTGTCTTCTGATGTGCGTATCTGTCAATTCCATTTTCTCGCTTGCCTTCAGCTCAACTGGCTGCTTCAATCATCTAATGGATCCATCACGCTCTACATCAATCAAGTTCCACCTCAGCAACGGCTTTGTCATATAAAATACTTATGGTTAGTAAATGTTGCCCGCTTACTGTTTCTCCAACACGCCTTGATCAAACATCAATTCGTATCCTTGTCGAGTACATAGACGGTCTTCAAAGGATCGAATTTTGTAACTCCGCTCGAAACCCCTCGGCTAGCCAAGGTCGGTCGCGATGTGATCATCTCGATCATTGCAAAACCAGGTCGGCTGCTTGCTACCGGTGGAAACCCATTGGCAGAAAATTTTGTGTATCACAGTGACTGCACATCCAGCTTCACTGGACGGCTCCGGTTCACGAGCACCACAAGGAGGACGCTCGGATACCGAATTGATAGCTCTCGTCCCAACGTGAGCACCGAGGCCTGAAGAACCTCAATCACTTATGCTCATCCCAGAAATTCCTCAATTTTGCCAATATAAAAGGCCCCATCATCTTGAGGTCAAATTTCCCTCAGGCCTCGTACAGAACATATCCAGATCCCATTTGGTACTCTCCTCCACATCTCCACACCAGAGGAACAAATAAAATCTAGCTCAATATAATTGTGACTACTACTCGTCTCCAGCAGTCGATTCAGGAAATTGGCTGTCTCATCTCTGATATCTGATTAACTCACGCGCGGCTCGCTGTTTTCGAACTGTTTCCTATATCATTAGTGCCTAAATCGAGCGCGATGCAGTAAGTAGTATCTTCATGAATTCCTACATCATTGAGCTTCAGATCGAATGCATAACTGTACTCACTGGAAAGAGATTGGTTTCATCGGACTAACTTCCACGTTCTACACATTACTTCCCTCTTTGATCAGGTGGGCTTTTGTTATCGTGTCACTCCTTGGATTCCATTCAGGCATACAAGCGAAGTTTGGATCCAACATTGGACTCTTGTGTTCAAATGGGCAGATCCCTACAACCCTCCAAGGATTCAGTTGCCCGAGTAGCGGAAAGTTGAGCTGCAACCAGGGAGCCCTGAGTTGTTCAGGAAAACAAAAAGTTGAATTTCAACCCGCGAACTTTGACGCCAAGAAAGCTTGTGGAAGTCATACTCTCGGTTGCATCAATGTTGTTCAAAATTGCGGCAATTGACCGAAGTCACAAGCCTGGAGTGTTTTCGGAATAATTGCTAGGCTTCAATCTTGACGTTGTTCTATCTGTATTTTGTTGTGTTGATGTTTAGTGGATAGTGCCCATAATATTTCATGCATCTCAGTATAAGAGCTTTAGCATCGGCTCGTGATGACTGCAATCCTCTCGCGCCGTATACACGTATCAGATCTGTGCGAGAATCTGGTGGTAACAAGAAGAATAATACACTGTCTAATTTTGACAATGTATATGCAGTGCCGTTAATGGACTGGGCATTGGCGTGGCCTTCATCTCTATGGAGCAAATTTCGAAAAGACTAGGTCATATTCTCATATTACAAACCAGAATATCATATTTCCGATCAATCCCAATGCTCGAGATGATCTTGATGGAAGGTATCTTTGTGTGATGCATGTGAGGCTAGACCAACATAAATTTAGCCCTGCCTGTATATAATTGTGTTGGGGTCTAAGACTGAGCTCATCCAAACAGCAGACAACAACCTCCTGGTTTAGGTCCGACGCAATATATTAACCAAGCAATCTGTGAAGAAGCTGAGTTCAACTAGACACCAAGGTCTGATGACATAGACTAGAGACAATGTATTGAGGTCAGATTAGTTAGCCAAGATACAAAGGGATGAAAGTGATAAAACGATAAAAGGGGATAGTTTGACTCACCATCTTATTTCAAATGGGGAAGAGAAGGAGATAGATGAATGATGAATGATTCTTTCTATATATACACATCTAGACTGGTTGAGGTTAAGTTGCTTACAGGCATATTCTAGTATGTAGTGGGTTTCTAGATGTCTGTGTTGATTCTATCTCAACAATTCATTCATGGTAAAATGATTTTGAATAGTATATGTATACCCTTTTGCAACAGTAGGTAGGTAGAGATACTGCCCAATTGTTCAGAAAGATACAGCCTACAAGTAACAATACAATTTCAGGATGTGGAAATTATGTGGTTGGAAACATTCGGATCAATCAGTATATGCAGGGAGACCACAAGAGGCACAAAACAGAAAGCAAAAACCAAAAACCAAAAACCAAAAAGCGCAGACAATGTATCTTGTGATGACAATAACAAAAAGTTATAATTCTCTGCCTTTCTGCTATAAGAATTGAAAAAATGATTGCACTTTGTGGAAATTTGAAATATAGGCCGTTGAGGATGTGTTCTAATACTGATAGCCCTCAACAAGAAAACCCAATATCTTCTGTGTTTGATTCTTGAGGCTTTGAGAATCCTTCTTAAAAAAGACCTGATTAGGTGGCTCTTGCTGTCACCCACCATACAAATGATTCTTGATGATAGTCAGCAATCATTAGTAATTGAGGCTGGAAATGCAGTGATGTTGAATGCTCCAAAGAAATACCTCAAAACAATAGCTGAAACGCTCCGCTGCGATCCGCTATTTGCCAATTTTTTTGTAACGGGTCAAAAACCCGCTGCACTCTCAATCGCTTTTGATCCGCTCTAAAAAAAGACCCGCTACATGCCATATGCAGCGCGGCGCCTCTCAGACCCGCTCGCGCCCCGCTTCATAGTTTTTCTGGTCCTCACAGCGGGCAGGTATACTATTCACAATTTTTTTTATATTAATATGCACATTTGAAGAAATATATACACAAAGAGCAAAATACAAGAAGGAAAAAAATAGGCAACCATGTATCTTGCCAGCCACAAATAAAAAAAATAAGAAATTGTTAAACAAGTGTAAGTTTGGACACACAACCAGAGAGTAAGAAAAATATTAAATGAGTGTAAGAAGGGAAACATAACCAGAGACACAATAGGACAGCATACCAGAAAAGAAATAAAAAAGAAACGAGATAAGACGAGAAAAAATAGAAATTAAACAAGCCAATCAAGAAACATTGATAAGTAACTGTACCATATCATAAATCCTTTTTCTTCTTCTTCATGTTGGCTGAAAAGGAGGCAACATAAGCAATTGCATCCGCAAATTGCCTGATAACAGGAATATGAGCTTGCAGCCATTGCCTGCATCCTACAGCACGTGAAATTGTCTTGGGTTTTAAAGCCCCACGTGCAGGTACGGCGATGTCAGCTGCTGATTAGAAGGTACGTTTGACACAGCACGAGGTAGCCGATATTGAGAGATAATCGCAGGCAAGGGTTGCCAGAACCAGGAATTGTTTGAGATTTTCCTAATAGAGACATATCAGTCAATCGGTACAAGGACTCAGTTGGAAAGAGAAGGAATGTAAATCTTACCTGCCACCAAGTCAGCTCTGATTGCCTGGGAGTAATTGGAACGGTTCCTTGCAAATAAACCTTGAGCTCGGCCAATTGGATAGAATTAGAAGATTGATGGGTAGCAGAGGATGTGAAGATGTCAAAGTGATCAAAGGTACTACTTGAGGCTGGAACAGGAGGAGGGGTTGAAGGAGGTGTGACAGGCCATTTGGACAACACATGTTGAAGTTTACTTTTGATGAGTTCCCTTTCCGTCTCTGAGTATTTGGGATAGTGGAGATCAAAGAACTTAAGTCAATACTTTAGATTCATAACAGTTGCCAGTAAAATTACGTCCGTCGAGGCGGCTTTGTCTTGATAGACAGCGAGCTTGACCAGCATGGTATTGATCATGTTGATCAAGCTCGGGAAGTTTGAGGCATTGCGTAGTCGCTGAAGGACTTCAGTAACTCGCAAGTACTCAGCCAGGACAACAGATCCTGATGCGAAGTCACCCTCCATTCGTTTGGTGGAGAAGTGGAATATCTGAAAAAGGCCATGGATAAATCAGGTTAGTTCAGTTATGAATTGTTTCAATGGCAGATGATGAAAACTTACTTTCAAGACCTTGCACAACTCTTCAACAGCATCCCATTCCTCCATTGACATCATAGCACCTTGATAATACCTTGTCTTGCAATCGGCGATGAGGATTGAATCGATAACCTTTGATGTAAATGAAAAAGATAATGAGAAAGATTGATAAAAAGAAATTAGAGTCAAGGGACTCACATCACGAGCTGAAACCAATTCGAAAACATTGCTAGGTCAATGTTCCACCTCACACCCCATCCTGCAATAGGTGCAGGACCTTCATAACCCATCTGAGCAGCTTGAGCTGCGAATTCTCCGCGTCGGGCATTGCTTCAAGTTAAGAGGGCATTAATATCTTTGAGCTGGTGTTGAGGTTGACCA